GGCTTTGATCTAATCATCTCTTGGAGGTAAGATTTGTTTTTATGGTACTCCTAACTATTTCTTTAGACATAGTATCTTGTATGTTGATTGGGTGTATGTATTTTGGGGTTTTGGAATTTACTTGTAGACTATAGGATTAGATTAGTACATTATAAAGAAAAGAATGATAGATGCATCATGGTGATCAATAGTAATTGTTTATGTGGTATAATATTTTATTAGGTTTGTGAGATTGAGGTGGATCTTGGTAATTTGAGATTAGCTTGGGAAATATTATTTTAGCTGTTTGAGGTAAGTAACCCTCTATCACTGTTGGTTCATTTTTATTCTTATCGAATCGTTTAAAATCATAAATATTTATTCGTAGCTTTCCTGTTCTCTTAAAATAAAATATGGGTCAAGTATAAAATGATTAGTTGAACATTTTGTGAAACTATTCTGAAAATTGTACCAAATGTTTATTCTGAAAATATCGAATATTTTATTTAAAAGTTGTGTATTGTTTGAATTTTGAATATCACTCTAGTCTGACTATGATTTGGACCCTAGCCAATGTGGGTTATTTATTGGCACATAAACTAGTTTCTTTTGGGGTTTTACCACCGGCCTATGTGTGGTTCTGGGCATTGTCACGGGCTATGTAACCGTAGTCAATAAGACTTGGGTTTTGTGAATCAAATCATTGAACCATCTGAATATCGAACCATCGATTTGAACAATGAATTACTTTGAATTATCTTGTTGGCTTTTCATTTAAAATGTATTGTACATTATTTATTTTTAGTTATGAAACCATCTTACAAAATAATTGTTCATTTATTGAACTGTAAAAAAATTTATATTTATTGATTATCGATTTATTTATTTATTTTTTTATACTTGATCTAGCTGGCAGTGATGGTTGGTTATTTACTAGGCTGTCTAGCTTACCCTTATTTTATTTTTTTTCAAATTCTGAAGAGTAGAGCTGCGCGAGATTTTTTTACATATAGGAGTGCCGAGAGTAGGACTATGATTTAAGTACTTGGATTATTTGTTTTGTTAATGGATTTTATTAGTGGACTTGGTGGATAATTTCATATGATAAGAATAATCAATTTTTTTTTATGGATTTTAGTATTATGATAATTAAGGGTTTGATTGGAGTATTTTACATTGTTAGTTATGTGTTGGACTCTTAGCCTTGCATGCTCACTTAAATGAGTGTGCGGCGTTGTCACGGAGCTTGGGACGTGACATATAGTTGCATAGGAAATTGGCATGGGTTTTCAGAATTTCTACCTTTCATTTTTTTTTTTTTTTGATTGTTGAAAGTAATGTTACAAAAATTATCTATTTTTATCATGTTATCGTTCCATCTGATATATTAATTTAATTGATAATATTGTGCCATTTTGGAAACATGGTAAAAAGTCACGTTTTTAGACAAAATGTCTAAAAACGTGGCTGTCAAAAACGCCAGAAAAACCATTTGGCAAGTGCCAAAAACGCAGCTATAAAATTACAAATTAGGGCCTATGAAAAAAAAATAAAAAAATAAATCTCTTATGTTGGGTAAGGGTATTTTGGTCATTTTAATTTGATTTGACACCATAAATAAATATTAAACTAAAAAGCAAAAAGCCAACTTTTTACCAACTTTCCAAATCACTTCAAAAAAAGCCAAAAAGCTTGGTAAAAAGCCAAAAGCCAGCTTTTTACCAACTTCTCAAAACAATCCATTGTATTGAAAATATACATTAGTGGTGGATTCATTATACTAATATTATATTGACAAATAAAATTATAAGTATAATATAGCTTAAAAATATGATAAGTGTAGCATTATTGTATTGTTAATGAGGAATTCCTAACCCTACCTTCAATGAGACCAGGGCAAATCTCAGATATGTACGATCACTAAGCTAGCTAAGGCGGAAAAGACTCGAATTTAAGACCTAGTGGTTGTTTACATGGAATCTTATCATTCAAACTAACTTTCTTGAGTTCGAGAATTTTCAATTTTAAAATTTACAAAGAAATAGAACCATGAAAGAAAAAAAAAAATTGAATTTTTTTTTTTCTTGAACCAAAGTGTTATTTACCGAGAATAGAGAGGAGTTTTACAAAAGAATTGAGAGAAATCCAACATAAAGAAGTCAGATTAGCCAAAACCCCAATAAGAAAGAAATATGGATAACGGGTCAGGATAGGAAAACACGGATCTTATCCCTTGTTTGTTTACACAAATGGTTGCTAGGATAAGTAATCCAGAGCCGGGCTTATATCCCACCTACTTGGAGGGTAGGGGTTAGGATAACATAGTGGGGAATTATCTATTGGAGGCAAAATTGTGAAATTTCCTTCCTTAGGATTCATTGTCCCAGCCTCTCAGGATTTAATTTTTGGGGATCAATTTGTTTTCTTGTTGCCCCTGAGGGATGGGTTAAGTGGTTAGGGGTCGGCCCAAAAACGCTGTCACCTGAGTTCGATCCTCCATCGCTCCTCGGCGTGCAATGTTTTAGTGTAGTAGCTAGGGAAGAAGAAACAGAGGCATTAGGAAGAAAGTGAACAATCTGTGTATTATTTTTCAGAAATTTACCTACCCCCCATATGGGAGTTCCTCACCTATTTATAACTACTTCTTCACCTCACACTTCTAACTTCCTAACTAATTCACAACTGACTTCCTCTAACTAACTAACTAATCTACTTCTTCACCTCACATTTCTAACTACCTAACTAATTCACAACCGACTTCCTCTAACTGACTAACTAATCTCTCAACCACGACCTAACTGACTTCCCTCAGCTGACCCACAATTCATCTTGACATAACATTCCCTGCTGCTTGAGAAATAGCCTTGACCTCAAGGCTGAAATTGAGGATATTTTGCTTCTATCTCAAAATGATCAACCCAGGTAGCATCCTCTGGAAAATAATTCGTCCATTGGACTAACCACTGAACCACAACCTTATTACCCCGTTTAACCATCCTCCTATCCAAGATAGCCATAGGTTCCAGTTGCAAAGTTCTCTCAAGACCGACTGGGGGAAGAGTAGTGTGAGCTAACACATTAGTCCCAATTTTCTTCTTAAGCAGTGAGACATGAAAAACAGGGTGAATTTTAGCAGTTGTTGGTAACTCCAGCTTATAAGCTACTGAACCAACCCTTTTCAAGACCTGATATGGCCCATAAAACCTTGGAGATAGCTTCATATTTCTCTACAAAGCCATTGTAGTCTGCTTATAGGGTTGTAACCTGAGGATCACCCAGTCCCCAATTTCAAATTCCCTTTCAGACCTGCCCTTATCAGCATAATGTTTCATCCTCTGCTGTGCCTGAGTTAAATGCTCCCTCAGGGTCTTGATAATAGCAACCCTCTCTTTTTCCCAATTATCCACAACTGCTACTGAAGAAGGTGTGGAAAGGAAAAAAGTATGGTCAGGAGGTTCTTGTCCATAGACTGCAAAGTAAGGAGTAGTTTTGGTGGCAGAATGATTGGTGGTATTATACCACCACTCAGCTAAAGAGAGCCACTTAGCCCACTGCCTAGGACAACCTCCAGACATACACCTGAGGTAGTTCTCCAAACATTTGTTCAAAATTTCAGTTTGACCATTCGTTTGAGGGTGATAAGCAGTGCTAAGGCACAACTTACAGCCCTGTAAAGTGAAAAGTTTATGCCAGAAATGGCTAGTAAACACAGCATCTCTATCTGAAACAATGGTAGAAGGAAGACCATGCAACTTAAACACTTGATCAAAGAATACTTTGGCCACATCTGCAGCCGTATAAGGATATGATAAAGCCATGAAATGACCATATTTTGACAACCTGTCTACTACTACAAAGATCACAGTCTTGCCTAGAGAATTTGGTAAACCTTCAATGAAATCCATGGAAATATCAGACCATACCCTATTAGGAATGGGAAGGGGCTGCAATAGGCTTGGATACTTGACATTTTCACTTTTGTACCTCTGACATGTATCACATTCAGAAATGAACTGAGCCACATCCTGCTGTAAGCCCTTCTAATAAAAACTCCTATGTAGTCTTTTTGTGGTCTTGATTATTCTCGAGTGTCCTCCCAAAGGTGAAGAATGGAAGTCCTGAATAAGTTACATCCTGAGGGCTGAGTTCCCAACTACCAACCTGCCATGGTAGGTTAAAATATCATGGTCCCAAGCATAACCAGCATGAGCTTGACCTTGTTGCAGGTCCAATATCAACTGTTGAATGTCAGTATCTTCACTCCAACTGAGCTTAACTTCAGCCAACCAACCGGTAGAGATACAAGATAAAGCATGAATCATAGCTATTGCATCAGCAGTATTGACCAACTCTTCTTTCCTGGACAAAGCATTAGCAGCTTGGTTATCTTTCCTACATTTGTATGTGATAGTGTAGTCAAAACCCAATAGCTTGGTCACCCATGTTTGCTGGAAAGGAGTTCCCATTCTCTGCTCCAAAAGATATTTCAGGCTTTGGTGGTCAGTCCTAATAAGGAAGTGCCCACCTAGAAGGTAATGCCCCAATATGAGGACTGCCAACACTACTGCCATTAATTCTTTTTCATAGGTAGATAGAGCTTGGTCTCTTGTTGAAATGCCCTTACTCCAGTAGGCAATGGGATGCCTATCTTGCATAAGCACAGCCCCAAGGCCGGTGCCAGAGGCATCTGACTCTAAAACAAAGGCCTTACTATAATCAGGTAAGGCAAGGACTGGTGTTGAAAGTAGGGTAGCTTTGAGTTGAAGAAAAACTGTTGTAGCTGTAGAGGACCATACAAAGGAATCTTTCTTGAGCAAATAATGAAGTGGAGAGCAAATTCGACCATAATACTGGATAAATCTTCTGTAATAACCAGTGAGACCCAAAAAACCCCTCAATTCCTTGATAGTAGAAGGGGTTGGCCAAGGTTTGATAGCTTGTAACTTCGTTGGTTCTACAAAAACACCCTTAGCTGAAACTAAATGTTCCAAATACTCCACCTCATCCTTCCCAAAAACACATTTGGACATTTTTGCAAACAAATGATGTTGCCTAAGCAATTGCAAAGTGAGCTGCGAATGCTGCAAATGGTCTCCCCATGACCCACTATATACCAGGATATCATAAAAAAAAACCACAATAAATTTCCTTAAAAAAGGTCTAAAGACTTCATTCATGAGACTTTGAAAGGTAGAAGGGGCATTAGTGAGTCCAAAGGGCATCACTAAAAATTCATAGTGCCCATCATGGGTTCTAAAAGCCATTTTGTCAATGTCAGAGGAATGAACCCTGATTTGGTGGTAGCCTGACCTGAGATCCAGTTTAGAAAAATACTGTGCCCCACATAATTCATCCAAAAGTTCATCAATTACTGGGATAGGAAACTTATCTTTGACAGTAGCGTTATTAAGAGCTCTATAATCCACACACATTCTCCAAGTGCCATCTTTCTTTTTAACCAATAGCACTGGTGAAGAATATGGACTGACACTAGGCCTTATTAGACCAGAGGTAAGCATGTCTTTTACTTGTTTCTCAATCTCAGTTTTTTGAAAATAAGGGTACCTGTAAGGTCTCACATTTGTAGGTTCAGTCCCTGGTTTGAGAGGGATGCAATGGTCATGTGATCTAGGAGGAGGTAAGTCCTTTCGCTCTTGAAATATATCTGCAAAGTTAGACAGCAAAGCTGCCAAATCTAGTGGAGTTTTCTCTTCCCTCACAAGACAATCAGCTTGCAACAAATAGAGTTGGGCTATGGCTCCTTGTGGCTGTTTGTGCAGCAACTTCTGCATTTTTTCTGGGCTCAAAACCTTTAACTCATTTCTCTTTCCCCCTCTTAAAACATGTTTTCTGCCATTGAGATGAAACTCCATGCTAAGATGCTTAAAATCCCACTTAACTGGACCTAGAGTTGCCAACCATTGGATATCCAAAACCATATCACAGCCCTTTAGTTGCAGGACCCTCATGTCAGCCTGAAAATTTGTGCCTTGCATTTCCCACTGAAAATCTTTGCACATGGCTGTACTCAACATTCTTGTCCCATCATCAACTGATACTGGTAAGGAATTAGTATTTTCAGTCTCGATATTAGATCTTTTAGCCACTGCTGGACTCAGAAAATTATGTGTACTCTCTGAATCAATCAAGATGATGATGAGGTGCTTTTTAACATTACCTCTAACCTTCATTGTTCTATAAGAGATTGTACCAGTTAAAGCATTCAAAAAAATCTGCAGTTCCTCCCCAGATAACTGTTCCTCATCTTCTCTTTTATCTTCATCAAGAACTGGTAGTTGATCATCTTCCTCTCCATCTTCTCCTCCTTCCATAACATACAATTGCTTCTTTTTACACACATGCCCTTTAGTATACCTCTCATTGCACTTAAAACATAACCCTTTGGCCTTCTTTTCCTCCAAGTCCTTAGATAACTCTTTTCGAACATATCCTCCATTACCCACTTGTGACCTGTTTACAGAAAAAGGAAGGATGCCTTCTGATTTGGTTCCCAACCTAGTCTTATTGGTAATGGCTTCAATACTTGTTTCTTGAAGTTTTGCCAACCCAATAGCCTGAGTGATAGATGTTGGTTTAAACATTAACACCCCTGGTTGAATTTCATCCTTAAGACCACTTATGAAACAACTAATAAAGAAAGTTTCAGGGTGGTTTTGAGTTTTGTTTGCCAAAACCTCAAACTGTTCTTGGTAAGCTCTCACAGTAGTGGTCTGCTTCAATTTGGTTAGGTTACCCATTGCATCTTCATATGAATTTGGGCCAAATCTTGATAGAAGTCCTTGTGTAAAAAAATCCCAAGTAATATGATGATGGCATCTTTCAAACCATTGAAACTACTGCAAGGACAAGTCCTCCAAATGAAGAGATGCCAATTTCACTTTATCAAGATTGTCAACAGCATTATACTCAAAAAATCTTTCACATTTATAAAGCCAACGATTTGGATTATCACCATAGAAGCGAGGAAATTCAATCTTCGCAAATCGTTGATGAGATTGGTAGTCTATCCTGAATGGAAAATCCCCGCGAGCTTGAAAATCCCCACGGGCTTGAACCCTTACTGGAGAAACCTCTGACTGTTCTTGGCGGAGCATTCTAGAATTGTCACTCTGATCTACATGTTGTTTCCCATAGATGTGTCCTGCCATTTTATCATACTTCATACTCATGGCAGCAATCAATTCCTTGATATCCCCCAATTCTTTGAGAGAACTCCTGATTTCCTCGATTTCCTTCGCATTTCTCTCATTACCCTCCTTTAATGAGCGTAATGTCTCCTCAATTTTTTTAGCTTCCTGGGCTGCTCTAGTTCCGTTGGCCATAGTGGTGCAGAGGATGAACAGGCCAAGAACCTGGGTGCTCTGATACCAATGTAGTAGCTAGGGAAGAAGAAACAGAGGCATTAGGAAGAAAGTGAACAATCTGTGTATTATTTTTCAGAAATTTACCTACCCCCCATATGGGAGTTCCTCACCTATTTATAACTACTTCTTCACCTCACACTTCTAACTACCTAACTAATTCACAACTGACTTCCTCTAACCGACTAACTAATCTCTCAACCACTACCTAACTAACTTCCCTCAGCTGACCCACAATTCATCTTGACATAACATTTAGTCCGGGACTAGGGACTCGCGAAGCCTGTGCAACCCCTTTTTTTCCAACATCTCACAATTTGTTTTATAGTTTAATCCTATTATACAAATTGAGCACGCACAATGCCCATACGCTACGTGATGCTCTTGTAAAAAAATATGTAATTTATGAATAAAGAAAAAGAATAAGAATTGATCACGTTTCTAGCGATTTAATAATCTGAATCAGTTTAATTTTTTCACAAAACAGTTTCAAAGTCATCAATTATTAGGAGCATGTTAAAAATTGTGAAAAATTCACACTGAATCACATATAGGATATAGAAACATACGTATCTTCTATGCACATAGTTGGGGAATGTTTAGGAGTATGAAAATTAATTGTTCACATGGTTTATGGACATCTGCAAAATGGCAAAAGAAATGTGTTTGAAAACATTCTTACAAACCATTCTTATTTATTTTAAAGTTACTCTTTAATTTTTTTTTGATTATTCAGAAATAGTCTAAATTTATTTGCTGAAAAATTCAGAGTCGTTGAAGTAGTTGTACCTTTTCCTTTAATTTGCCACTTGTAGTTAAAGAAAATTATTTTATCTTATTATTAGTTTTTTTTCAAGTGAATACAAGTGAGAGTTGTATGACAAGCCATAATTTTTTACTTACACTGATCAACTTGCACCTCTATGAAAATTACAATTATTTTGAAAGATATTCCTAATTTTCTTTCTTATACTTTCATTTTTTTGTAATTATACTAAACAAATCCTAGTTGGTAAGGCAGTTTACTCATCTTCTCACTGATTAGGGTTCGAATCCCCTACTATTCAAGTGGAAGTCTGACGGTTTAGGTGAATAGGCTAGCTTTCCCCAGTTTGACTTGTAAGGATGGACTACCTTGGGGGGTGTTCTGGGCATTAAAAAAAAAAAAAAAAAACAAAGGTTCATGGACCAAAGGATTTCAAAGTAGTAATATATGACAAGCTTGTTCAAGCAACTAAACCTTGAATTAACCAGCCCTTTTAGCCTAATGATTGTGTAGCATAATTTTGTGATGTGTTGTGAGTTCAACTTTTATGGAGAAGAATTTGATATTTGTGTTGTTTATTTTTTCTTCATTATGGGATTGTATCGAAATAATGGGTGATTTATTGGGTATTCCGGAAGTACGGTCACGTGGTGCTCCATGGTATTATGATTGGTGAAAAATGTGAGGTATTATGATTTTGTGTTGAGTGATCGAGAAATATAAAAGGGCATAGTGAATGATAATGATTGGTGAAAGAATATGAACACGTGATACTCAGGAGTATCTAATAATTTTCCATAAATTAATGATTGTCAAGTTTGGTAATGATGGACTTTTTAGCTATTGTTAAGCTAGTGATTTCCCTCAAAACTTCTTAAATAGAAAATCCTCTTAAACTTTTTTAGTGTCATTTGGAATTTGAAAATGCTCCATGGAGTATTATACATCGGGGTGTTTGGTGTAGATTAAATAAGTTGATTATAACTTATTTTAATTTAGGAGCTTGTGTCAGACTGTTTGGAATAGTTTCTACTTATAACTTATTAAGCATAAATAGCTTAAATAAGTTGAAAAAAGTTGATTATTTGAAACTGATTATAAGCTTTTAGCTTACCACATCAGAGAAATTTCTCTGTGAAAATTGAAATTTCTCTGAATCGAGCAAAATTTCTCTAAGTCAAATTTTCTCTGTAAAAATATTGAGGGACCTTAGCTAATAAAAAAAAAATCTTGAATATCTCCTGCTACACAAAGTTAGAGATAGATGTTTTACTAATTTTGTGTAGGATACTTCTCATATTTATGAACGCTTTACTACCGATTAAAAAAAAAAAAAAAAAAAGCCTTTAATGAGTTGACAATTATTGGCATCTTCCGAGGAGTTCCCATTCTCTGCTCCAAAAGATATTTCAGGCTTTGGTGGTCAGTCCTAATAAGGAAGTGCCCACCTAGAAGGTAATGCCCCAATATGAGGACTGCCAACACTACTGCCATTAATTCTTTTTCATAGGTAGATAGAGCTTGGTCTCTTGTTGAAATGCCCTTACTCCAGTAGGCAATGGGATGCCTATCTTGCATAAGCACAGCCCCAAGGCCGGTGCCAGAGGCATCTGACTCTAAAACAAAGGCCTTACTATAATCAGGTAAGGCAAGTACTTGTGTTGAAAGCAGTGCAGCTTTGAGTTGAAGAAAAGCTGTTGTAGCTGCAGGGGACCATACAAAGGAATCTTTCTTGAGCAAACAATGAAGTAGAGAGCAAATTCGACCATAAGCTGGATAAATCTTCTATAATAACCAGTGAGACCCAAGAAACCCCTCAATTCCTTAATAGTAGAAGGGATTGGCCAAGATTTTATAGCTTGTAACTTTGTTGGTTCTGTAGAAAAACCCTTAGCTGAAACTAAATGTCCCAAATACTCCACCTCAGCCTTCCCAAAAACACATTTGGTCATTTTCGCAAACAAATGATGTTGCCTAAGCAACTGTAAAGTGAGCTGCAAATGCTGCAAATGGTCTCCC